GTTGTTGAATGAAAATAATTTTGGTTGAATATGAAAAGAAATGCGTGTTGTTGAACATAAATATAAAATGTTGAATATAATTGTAAACTGTTGAATAAAAATATATTTTGTTGAGCATAAATATAAGTTGTTGAATATAAATATGCAAGTTGTTGAATTTTGCAACATTTGGCTAACCATAGCTTACAGCTTTACACTTTTTTTTCTTTTCTAATTTTTTGGTGCGGACAAAGTGTGCGCGCTGTCAGTCGACTAGGGAGAGGAAGTGATGACCCTCCCCTCCCCTGTGACAAACAAACCTGGAAGTGAAACTAAGTTGAAGCGTTCCAAGTAGCTGTGTATTTTACTGTGGTTTGGAGCATTTTCAGCGATATTAGGTAATCAAGATGACACGTGTGTGTAATTAATGCTGTAACAATACGCGCTGATAGTATTTTTTCGAAATTATACTTCATGAATCGGGCTTTTGCTCCTTTTAGTCTAGGATTGACTCGAGGAATTTGAGCAAAAACATCGAATAATTGTGATCAAAAATCGTATAATTTCTAACCATTCGGTGATTGTTTGAAAAATGCCTCAATTAAAAAACCTTGCTATCGAAAATTTCTTTAATTTTCGTTCTCTTTCCGCTGTTCAATTGACTTTCAGAGCGAGATGACTTCCTAAACAATCCCGTGATACACAGCTTGATCAATCGAGAGTATAGAATGTTTACTTGATTTCCAACACTTTCATGACTATTTCCTGGTTGAAGGTAATTATTGTAGGCTCCTAAATTACAAAGTTACTTTGAATCACTACCAGTTTAGTGTCGTTATGATAATATACAGTAAAAAACGTAAATTTTTCAAAGTTCCCACGCTGAGGTCTTAGATCTTTCAGTCAATTAATGTCAAACGTATGATGCACGATTAAATTAATCGTTATGCACTCGGAGGTGATGCAGACGTAATGTATAATCTTATTTTCTACTATAGAATTCTATGTGTTCACTCGAACAGAGATGATATTGTTTTAACGCTAAGTGCTGAAATAATGAAATAATTTCTTGGTTTAGACAAGGGTTTACTATGTGCACACTTCATTGCTAGCTTGACATTATTTTTCTTGTGTAAACTAACTCACATAATACCCTATCTTCATCATAATACCCGATCTTCATCTGCCGGTAACTATTACATAAACTAGTCCAGGCTAAATCAACATAAAAACTCATTCTCAAGGATTGGTTGTAAAATTTGGAATAGCATCCCAGGAAACGTAAGGAATCTTCCAAAAGATATTTTCAAGAAAAAGCTAACAACAATATTATTTCAAAATCTTCAAATTCAAGATAGTTATGTTGACGTAGAATGAATAATCAATGATGTGTCAAAAGTTAAATCCAGTTAATAGTAGTGTATAAGTTATGTATTCTTCTGTTTATTGTCATGTGTTTCTGTTTCTGTATTTTTATCTCATACTGTCATTTCTGCTTTTAAATTAATGATTTCATATTTAATTTCTGCTTCTTGTATATCTTTTGTTGAACCGAAATCTATGTAAGATGTTTTAGTGTCCACACACTGCCCGCCGAGACTAGCTATGCTATTTGTGGGTAGTGGTTGATTATGTTAAGTTAAGTTTAACGCCATTAGAATTAGAATAATGGTTATTTCCTGGTCTCTTCAAAGTTTCCTACAGATTGGCATATTGACAATAGAATGGCAACAGCAAGGAGACGAGAGAGGTTCACTATCTTTGTGCGATTTAACTCCAACACCAACATACCAGTCACTATTGACCTACAATGGACAGTGTTGAGGCTTAAACAAGAGATAGCTACCAGTCAAGGAGTTGAAGCTTCAGAGTTGCGAATAATTTTTGCAGGGCGAGAACTGAAAGATGATCTTCAACTGAAGGTATGCATCAGTGTTTACTCTACGAAATCTGCTGGTATTTTCATTAAAGAAACACAAATCGCATATATGATCTATGTCATTTTATTAGTGGTGTACATCTAACATCTGTCAACATCGTTAGCACAAAGGAACTGCTTCATTTGGAATTTGTATACAATTAGTTTAATCAATATCGGGTTTGGCTTTATTATGGGTAGGATATTTCAGTGAAGGAAAAAGGTTCAAAGGAAACTGCAAAACAAAGGCCATAGTGTGTAAGAGGTGGGCCTGCAGATGCAGAGCACCTTGCATTTAACTTTGATTTTGACTTTGCTTTTTTTGAAATAGTTGTTTACCTGGCTCCGGTTGTTCGAAGGATGGATAATGCTATACACTGGATAAATCTCTATCCGGTGGATAGCGTAGTACGTTTTGGTAACGCTCATCCGCTGGATAGCCATTTATCTGTTGGATAGCGTTATCCACCCTTTGAACAACCGGAGCCTGAAGTTTATATGATCAAATGTTACTATGGATGTTTTTTATGTAGAGAGGTTCTTTAAGGAAAAACTGGAAGTGTCACTGTGTTATTTTCACATATATGGAGGTGGCATGGCTGAGTGGCTAGGGTGCTGGACTTGTAATGCGGCGTCCCGTGTTCAAGTCCTCGGCCCTGCCATTCACTGGATTTGTTCTCGGGTTGCCCCTAGTTCAACTCCTTGGCTGCACTCTGTAAATAGCCCACTAGTCTGCCTCCTACCCGCAGTGGGGATCTTCCAGCACCTAGTTAGGCTACAGTGTGGCTGAAAAGCCCCCGTGGGGAGCTTCAATTAACATATTTATTTTTTTATTATTTATTTTTATTTTCAATGCACCCTTTGTTGGGAGGTTCATCTAACATCAAACCATTTCACTCATGCACCAGCTCAAATTTCCCAAAATTCCTTTTGCATAGTTTGCTGTTCCAGTTGCAAAACTTTCTGTAATCAGTGTCTGGTATGACTGAAATCAATTTGTAACAAAATTTCTCTGAAAAGGGTCAATAACATATTTTATTACACGACTCGGGCAGTCAGAGGGCCANCAGACCGAGCGCAGCAAGGTCCGTACTGTCAAGACCTCGTGCTGATATTCTCCCAGTACAGCCCTCGCGCATGGTTAATAAGATATATGTTTTGCTTGGTTGTGTAATGCTATTCTATTCCATAGATTAAATAATAAATGTCATAATAAATATTTATGTATCATGTGTTGAATCAACTTGAACTAGGATGCAGAGATTCCTCACCAAAGTGTTATTCATGCTATCCGAGGTGGCCGCTGGTCGGCGAGACCTAGTAGACCTGGCAAAATAATGCCATTGGCCAAAGTTAAACTTTCCACTGTGGGTGAAGATGAAGAGAGAGCAGCGACTTCAACAGATGGAGGTATGTAGAAATGTCAGTAAAAACTGCCATTATGATATATTTTGGGGGAATGAAATGGATTAATGAGGGGAATGGTTGAGACTGGTTATTTGGTTTTATCAACTGAGTGATAACCTGAATTGGTCACTGTAAAGTGTTTCTAAGTATAATGTTTCTAGCACCAAAACCCTTTGTCAAAGCAAATTTGCTATTCACTTATCTTCCCTCCCTTCAAATTCCTGTTTTTTATCTTAAAGCACCTTCCCAGCGGCAGACCCAGTATTTTGTCTACTGCAAGACTTGTAAAGAGGTTACTCCAGGAAAGTTGAGGGTTTGTTGCTCTCTGTGCAAAGAAGGGGCAATTGTTCTTCAGCAGGTAAATTATTCTAAGCATTTAATTTTCAATTATTAGTTGATGTTGATGCAAAGTAATAATAGGAAGTAACCATTTACAAAAGAAATATACTCTCAAAAGGTTTTTACAAAAAATGAGGTTTGAATTGAATGACATGATATTCTCTCACTGTTTTTGATGGTATTACTGTCTGAAAGACAAGTTTTATGGTAATTGCTAAAATTATTCTTCACCTAATCTTTGGGAGCCACATGTCAATTTTTTCTCAAAGTGCCCCTCTCCTCCCAGGAATGTAAATTGAGTGATAGCAGTCAACTGTCAGGTAAACCTGTGGGGAGGGGGGTTAGGGTAACCTGTAATGGATTGGCATTCCATCCAGGGGGGGGTACATAGCAGTACTCTTTGCCTCTTCATGCTACAAAAACTGGGATAAGCTCCAGTGGTGTGCGTATTCTCCATGCTGTTCTCAAAACATTTCCAAAGGCACTGACAAGGAGAGTTTGTTTAACAATTAAGAGCTTCTTTAGTTGATGATCATTTTCTCAATTCTTGTGACCTTCATGTAGGATTCAGTGGTGATATTGTAAGGAGAAATTAGATGCTGGTCACTCTCAGGCATCAAAGAGTTAATATGATGTCTGCAGTGTGACTGTACTTGAATAGACTGCGGGTAACAAATAGTCACAGTGATTGTGTTATTCAGATCAGTGTTAAAATAGTAAAGGCTTTAGTGAGTTCAGTGTAGTCATTAGAAAGCAGAGGTGGTTCTAGGAGAGGGGCAGGGGGTCCAGGCCCCCCTTATTTTGGTTGCCCCCCTTATTTTGGTTAAAGAAATAAATGCAGAGGGAAAAAAGACAGCAGGTGAATTCACACAAACAAAAATGCCCCCCCCCCCTCCTCCTCCCTAGCTCAAGGTCTGGTTCTGCTACTGGAAATTGCCGTTGATTTAATGATTTACATCTTAATTTTCCTGACAGGATCCAAGTAGTTGGGAAGATGTTATGAGATCAGGAAGAATCAGAGGATCGTGTAAAAAATCAGGCTGTGAAGGGAGTATAGCGGTATAAGAAAGAGCTCTACTACTTACTCTTGTTAGGATAGCACAGACTCTGATAATTAGAATCATTATTTGAGAAGTCAGTACATTCTGCAGGATTCCATCAAAGCCTGAATTTTTCAGGCTTCTCTTTTGCAATTACTTAAAGAGAAGCTCACCTGCGAGGATCACGGCTTAATTTAATTTTCAATCTACAGGTCAAATGTAATTTATTTAATTACAAATGGTATCACATTATCCTTAACTTTTATCTGAATGGTTCTGCTTGAAGTGACCGTACAATACAGGTGGAAGACAATACAACCAGGCTGTTGGTACTAACTAAATATTAATAGAGGTGATCGTGAAATAAAGGTGAAAAAATTTCGGGGCTTTCACAAACGACAGATTCGACTGTATTTGGTCGCGTGATACATCTAAACTTATCGCGTTCGTGCAAAAATAATTGATGGATTATGATTTGTGATTTGCAATTCTGACGTCGCCAACAATCGGCTTTTGGTTACCTGTTTTTAGGAGTTTTACTTTAAGTGTGCACAACATACTGCTGCCGAGGGAGACAGATGTGTAGCACTAACTTTGATTCGGTCAAACACCAGAGACATTCCTTGTTTGGCCTGTGCTGATAACAGGTAAGTCACGTCATCAAGTTTTTTTTTTTTATCACTGACTGATGAGAGCCTTGGGTATCTAACTTGCTGGCTGAGCTACAGCAAATGCAAACCTAGTTTAACCGCAAGTTATCTAATATCGATAGGCGACAAATAAACTATTTTTTCCAAGTGATAGTTCCCAGTATTCAAACGTTAGGTACAATACGATGAAAGTCATCATTTGAAATTTAATTCCCATATTCATGACTTATTCATAAGATGATCATCCAACTTCGACACGCCAATTTCGTCACGTGCATGTGGTTTGAAACCCCGGTGAAACACTGGAATGACGGGCTATCCATGAGGTTCACATAATATCAAACCCTTGGGTCTGATAAAGCATCAAACTCTAGCGAACTCATTTCTTGATTTGAATAGCAACAACAGACTTTCCGATAACACGTGAAAAATTCGTGAATATTTTCATTTTCTTTCATCCATTTTCTCGTGTTTGAAAACCCTGATGAAACCCTCGCACTCGTTTTTAAAATAGTAATTCAAGGTGGGAGGCTAAGCTGTTTTTAGCCAACAGAACCGCCGGAATTTTTGCTGTCTTATAGGCGATCGGGAACAAACGCTTGGCGAGCGCGAAGCACCAGTCACGCGCGAGGAGGAGCGCGAAAGAATAAGTTAGTTTTTCTTCCCCTCGTGCGTGACTCACTTCGCGCTCGTCTCGCATTTTGAGCTCGTCTCGCTCTTGCCTCCGTTTGACTGAAAAAGGAAAAAACAAATTGCGCTTGTTTTGCCGGCTGAGTTTGCAAACATTTTGTCTCGCGAGCTGCAAAGCATTTGAAGGATCACGATAACCGCCTAGCTGCCATTTGCCTCTCAAATAATCTCATAAATTTGAACTTGGATTTTATCTGTTCCTTGAGGGCTCACTCGCAAAACGGTGAGCATCGAGGAACAGACACAGATAATGTCTGCCGACAAAATCCTGACCACTGATTTTCATGCCAAAGGGAGGCGATTGTTCATTTGGTCACAAATTCAATCGTGTTGCAGGGATCCTGTTTTGGTTTTCCCTTGCGCCGATGGACACGCTGTATGTTTGGAGTGCTTTGCAATCTACTCTACAACAAAACTGAATGACAGGCAGTTTGTACATAGCGAGACCTACGGCTATACCCTGCCGTGCCCGGGAAGTTCAGGTGAGACCAAAATATGAAAAAACATTTAGTAATCGTTCAAAACTTTGAGTGAATGTCACTTGTTCCCTTGTTGAAGAGGTGAGGGGAGCTCATACTCATAGCTGTGGCTCCAACGAGGACTTTTAAATTCAGGTTCAAACGCGCTTTCCTTAAGGAAATGGAAGAAAGAAATAGGAAGTAAAACTAGGAAATGCTGTTGAACGTTGTAGGTTGAACGCAATTATTTTAGCACGTTTCTTTCGGGGTGCCCTGCAAGCAGAGCCCCGGCTCTGTTCGTAGGTTTTTCCAGGGAAATTAAAAGAGAAAGCCAGGTTTCTCCAGGTTAATTTTGTTCTCTTCAACACAATGGAACACAATGGAACACAACTAAACTCTCACTACGTGAATAAAGAGGGTAAGTCTCCTAAAGAAACTGTGTATAAGGGGTGTATCAGGTTAGTTGGGTTTTATCACAAGCTGATAACCTGGTTTTACCAATTAAGAAAATAACAAAGTACAAACGCTTACACATTTTCAAACTATTTCACTACATGATTGGGTTTTTGCTTTAAATCGATCTCAAACAATGTCTTAACATAGTTTTGCTTTTAACCTTAAGGTTATAGTATCATTCCTTTTTGAACATTTTGCCGATTTCCTTCAGAACATCTAGGGTAAATTGTTGATATCGGCTCTCAGCTTCAAGTTGTTGCTGTAGAATTCTTTTCAATAAGTCCTCCTCCCTTTTGCGGCTGTCCTCTAAAAACTCCCGTAAGATGGCGATCATGCTAAGATCTTCCCGACGGCTCTGAGGTGTTTTGAGCGGTTTTGGATTCTTCCTCGGTTTTTTCCGAGGAAGTGGTTCGGTGGGGGCGATGAGAGGTCTTTTTGAGCCCCGAGCTGTCATTTCTTCGGAGTAGCTCTCGTCCTCTGATGATTCGTCTTCGCTCGCAAAACTCTTTGGTGCATGCAGAAGTTCCATGCTGACTGCCGTCGCTGGAGAAGGCTGAGAAATAGCTGTGGAGTATACTTGTACGGGGATGGGGTATTGGTCTGCTTGGCTAGCTGCTATTGGTGCATTCAGTGGCGTGGGTGGTGGGGCCGGTTTGATGGGACGCAAATGTCTGCTTGTAAACGTGTCCGAAGGAATCGCACTGGGAAAGGTTAATGTGGGAGAAGGAGTAACAACAGTTTGAGAAGTAACGACGCCATTGGCAATGGTGTGCTCGGCCGGTATGTTGATGCGTACCACCTCTTCTTCGCGAAATAGATCGCTTTTATTGTTAAGAATCTCTTTTACTTGGTCGTGGTAGGGAAATGAATGAGGTAATTGGTCCTTTGTTCGTTTGTATTCCGCGAGCAGGTTCTTTATCCGCACCTTGCATTGATTCCCTGTTCTGGGCCCCAGCGAGCAATGCGCTACTCGCCTGTTGAATTCCTTGGCAATCATGTTCCATTCTTCGTAATTTCGTTTCTTGCCCTTGATAATTCTATAGTTTGCCCTCCAAAGGCTTAGCAGGGCCATGGTTTCTGGATCTGTCCAACGGGAAGAATTAATAGTTCCCAGGGCTTCTTCGCCATTCCCCTCCTGGCCCTTCACCTGTTGACCGGGAAGAATGACTTCTATTGTGGTAGTTTTTACACCCTCCCCCACTGTCATCGTGTTTGAGTTGGACACTGTAGCCATGGAAACCGTTGTAGGGTGTTGTGACATCGCTTACACGCGTGATATCTGTTGAGAGTTTAAAGGGGGAAGGGAGAGTGAGGTTAGTTTTTGTGCTATTTTTTTTTATAAAGCTTTCCAATTACTCAGGCACTCCTCAGGTGCCCTGTGTTTAAAGTAGGGGTTCAGTCCAATCTCAAATCTCCGTGTAGGTTCTGTGTGAGTCCAAAATTTTCACATGTGGACTTCAAGAACTGATTGAAAAGAACGAAAAAAAAAGCAGTATAAAGCGTGTCTGTACTTTACCATTACAAGCGCTTGAATACACGCACATTTATGCATTATTATATCATTGCTTTAAGCCAGAGGACACAACGTAAGTTGGGAATAATAACACTAATATTAATAATAATAATAATAATAATGATAATAATAATAATAATGATAATAATAATAATAATGATAATAATAATAATAATAATATTGATAATTAAGGGTAATAAAAGCGTAAATTAACATATATGATAAAATGTAACATTTTAATTCAAATGCATATAAACAAAAATCTGTTAAAAGTAGTAAAACTTATACTTCATTAATCTTTTAGAAATCTTTGCACGAATCTAATGAAATCTAATTTTGAAAGGCGTTTAAAATTGGACTTCAAAATAATTAAAATAAAGAAATTAATCAAAGTTTTAATAATATCCATTTGGATCTGATTAAAGGTAGTTAACAAAGATGTGTCGTAATCAAAGTCTATCAAAAACTATCAGAATTTATCTCATTGCGAATATTGGAAGGCAAGCTGTCCTACATCTTCAATACTGCGGCCGACAAAGCGCGGTCACCGAGTGTTACTTTATTTACACTGGTTGGCTCTCCTGGAGAAGTCCATTGTTCGACCTTAGGCTATAATTTTACTTTCCAATGAGTAGCTGTTCCGCTATGTCTAGCTTTAAAAGTTAGAAAGGGAATTTTCAAATCTAGGAAATGCTAGAATAGAGCCAAACAAACATACTAGAGTACCTTGTTAAAAAAACAACCAAGACTAAAGTTAATCCTGATGAAATAGTTGTTGAGGGGTTTCTTCGCAGTGTTAGGTCTTTTGACCCTAAGTAGACTCCAGTTGTAATATTATTTACGAGAATATTCGAGTGCTAATTATATGTAATCTGTCGTCTTGAAATTGTAAAATCTACTTAATTTATCTTACCAGAAATTATCCCAGAATAAGTTTATTCTTTGAGGTAAATCTACGGTAAGCGTGAAAGAAATTCGCGGTTCAAACGAAACAAACGTTTCGAACCTAGCGACCCCTTTGAGATATACCGACAGCTTAAGTGTATGTCTACAAAAGAACAACAATTGAAATTTTAGACAACCGCCTCCTGTCATAAAACAAGAACTAATTCCTTGAAATGAAAGCACAGATTGAGAAACACACGAATGTGCTTTAGATTGGGTTGGCGTTTCAAAGCTTGACGATAAGCCATCGTGATGCCGTAATGAATTGTAATTTGAAACAACTTGATTTTGATCGAAGTAGCTTAGAATATACCTACGTCTCTTATATTGAATCGCAACGTTTCAGTGTAATTTCACTCCATGTTCATCCTAACCTTTGCCTCAATTGTCGAATTTTTAAGTAGAATCAAAGAATTATATTCTTGAACTGAATACAACGATATAAACAACGAACACAGTGTTAAGACAATCATAAAATGTGCAACTCGCTCGAGCCGAGATCGACGCAATGCTAATGACGGATTCAAACGTGTTTAGAATGCTAAATCGCTTTCCACAGGGCTTTCTTAAATCGCAACTGTAAAATTGAAAATACTTACCAACTGTTATTCGAACAATTTTGAAGTTCTGTGTATGCTTCTACTGCCAGTGTAAGTTTCCTGCTTGTGCTCGTTTGAGATCAATTCTTGAAATGTTCAAATCGAAACTCGAATCGAAACTCGCTAGTCTTGAAGCGCTTGATCAAGCAATCTTTCCATATTTGGCTTTCTCACTACGCTGAAACTTCATTTGATGAAAAAATCAAACTTTTTCCTTCCATTCCTCTTAGTGCTTTAAGCTCTCAATGTACAAAATATGTCACTAGCTCGTGAGTCGTATATTCCGTCCTTTTTTATCTCCTCTCGTGGAGAAACGGTTGAAGCTCTACAGCCCGACTCAAATTTAATTCAAGCCACCCCAGTGTCAGATGCGTAGACAATAATCCTTTGTTCGAAATGTGACGTAGACGAGATCCGAGACGTGATTCGATTGTTCGCTTGATTAATCAGTCTTGCGATGCATCTCATGCATACGTGAAGACAATTTTCTCTTTGAAGGGAATTTAAGACGGCTTTTCTTGATTTCAGAAAAGAGATTATGAAGGGGTATCAGATTTAAGTCGCGCTTTATTTTTCGCAGTTTGGCACTCGATCATTCACGATATTTTGAAATTAAAAAAATGGGGAAAACCAGACAGAAAGAAAGTTTTGAAGTAATTGGTTGTTCAAGCTCTTTTTATTTATTTTTAAAGCATATGCACTTTACCGCATATTCACGAATGTTTTGAACGGAGGATATCCACTGGCGCTTTGTGTATATGTTTTTTTTTGTTGTTGTTGTTGGGAGCGTTTCCACATGCAAATCGCGAGCTTCCAGGAAAAATTCGTAATTTTAATCTCTTTGCGGATAATTATTGTAAATCTCTTACAGTCCTAATTTTATCGCTTAATATTAGGATTTGCAAGAGTTGGGAAAGAATAAGTCGCGCGATTAACTGTGTTGCTACTGTTGACTTAAGAAATGAATTTTGTGCGTTTGTTTTTAACAGGGTTCAACTTTCATTTTATCGCTTTTCTCCCACAGGCAGCTGTGACAGCGCGCTTATTCCGGAGGCTCATCATTTCCGGGTGCTCCAAGATGATCAGGTTTGTAGGTCCATGAAATCTGGAACTGGATTCTTTGAATTTTATTGTATAGTACATTTCTTATATTGCTTTCAAAACGTTAACCCTATGCGGCTTGTCCTAGCCGTAATTCTATCCCACTCTGGAAGGAGTGGTCTGGTTTCGAGCCCCGGCCGGGGACATTGTGTTGTGTTCTCAGGCAAGACACTCTACTCTCACAGTGCTTCTCTTCGCCCAGGTGTTTAAATGGGTACCGGCGAATTTAATGCAGGGGGTAACCCTGCGATGGACTAGCATCCCATCCAGGGGGGAGTAGAAATACTCCTAGTCGCTTCATGCTACGGAAACCGGAGTTAAGCGCCGGCCTGATCGGCCACTTGGCTCGTAAACAGACTCTTTTTTTTCCATACGTGTGTTGCTTGCTCCTGGTGTCGTTATTTTACCGATTTTACTTGATTTAAGCGGTTTTTTTTAATTCTGGATTTCTCTTCTAAAAGAAGAGAAAACCAGGATTAAAAAACCAGGATTAAAGAAGAGAAAACCAGGTTTAAAAAAACCGCTTAAATCAAGTGAAATCGGTGAAATAACGACACCAGGAGCAAGCAACACACGTATGGAATAAGGTAAGCCATTTTTATTTAATATTTTCACTTTTAACTATCTCTATGGATATCTTGTAGAAAATCCCATGCAAATCCTTATAAATCGATATGAAAATTGTGTTCCTTGTGTGGTTCTCAAAGAGAGCTTGGGCCGCCTGTGTATCAACTAGGTTGAAATTGCAAATTGGTCACCGTAAAGAGTTAAAAAGCTGACATTTCGAGCGTTAGCCCTTCTTCAGAGCGAATGACGAAGGGCTAACGCCCGAAACGTCAGCTTTTTAATTCTTTTTTTTTTTTTTTTTATACTGATTTGCTAGCGCGAAGTTTTGAGCGATTAAGTCGTAAGTCTCTCGCGCGGCTACGCCGTTCAAAACCGTCAGCTACGAAGGCAACAGTTGTGCTCTTCTGGGCCGTGTAGAACTGGAAGTGTAAGTAATACGCAACGTTTAATGTAGAGTGTATCAATTGAATTGCAGTATGACCGCTACCAGAGGTTCGGAACGGAGGAGTATGTTTTGAAAATGGGTGGCGTGCTATGTCCTGGGCGTGGCTGCGGAATGGGCCTTTTGCCTGAACCAAACATGCGCCGTATCAAGTGTGAGCATTGCCAGGTAACTAGATATACACACGGGAAAATTAATTCCACGAGTTGTTTGGCAAAAATCGATGTTCAGACGAAATTTCACCTGTTACAAACTCTTAGGGCGTAAACAACAGCTGTAATTACTCATAAGATTAGACTGTCTTCACTGATTGAAAGCTGTTCTCTCACCACAGTTTCAAGAGAAGGGATAAAATAACAGTCGTATCGAACTGGGTGAAACTGTCTTTTGCAGGCATGCTATACAGTTTCTGTTTGCTCTTCGTTTTCAGTTTGAGTTCTGTAGAGAGTGCAAGGAGCCTTTTCAGCGAGGTCACTCGTGCAATCAGAGTAACCCAAACGCAACAACAAATGCTAGGGCTAGCGTAAGTATATAACGAGTCTGAAACTCGTAACAGCCTACAAACAAACGTGGCACTAAGTGTTTCACGAGTGATCCTTGAAAATTGTGGTGTGCGGTTTTGTTTATGTATTAAAATGACTTCTAAGGCTTGTTAATTCTGATTTTAAATGCATAAATTTAACACCTTCTAAAAAATGAATAAAAAATGAATAGAATAATACAGTAAAAACCTGTGTGTAAGAACCTAGTTTTTTTCATGTCTGGCAAAATAGGTTCTTATGTTTTGGGGTATTTACTGACAACTTAGGCAAAACAGGTTCTTCATTGGTTCTTAAATATCTTTAATGCCAGACTTAATTTTCTATACTATACTGTACAATACACTGTGCACTAAACAATGTACTTAATTATACAGTTTAGAAGTTTATACCCAGGAGTACACTTTTTTAACTTGCTTTAATACATGACTGGGAGCCACAAATATAGTGGGGAAACTGTATTGTGACATGTTTTATGGAAGTGTCAAATGTATAGAAAACATTTATTTTATAGTTGCAGACATATTTTGTTACAACATTGTTTCATTATCCAGAATGACTCTTCATATAAGAACCATGCAGGTTTTGCTGGGTAAACGGGTTCTTATATTTTTGGGTATTAAAATCCAAAATTTCTGCCAAAAAGGTTCTTAATTAGTAGGTTCTTACACGCGGGTTTTTACTGTATGGGACTCCTTTTCAGAATTACCAAGTCAATTTAGAAAACGCCAGACGAGCACGCTGGGAAGCTGAAGCGCGACAAGTGATTGAGCAGATCAGCAAGAAGTGTCCCGGATGTAAGACAAACACTGAGAAAAATGGTAAGGAAAGAGGAGCCCTAACCCAATGGAACACTTCCCAACAATCCGCTAAACCTAAAAAACAACGCCTTCAGCGGCTTGTCTCACTAGGAGACCGAGCTGAAAAACATGTTAACGCGTCACTCACTCACTTCCGTGTGCTCATGCACGGAAACTTATGCAACACTACAGCAAAAGGCAGAATTTTTTAACAAACTGGACAACGGCGAGGTTTTCTTCCCTCGATGTGAAGTTAGGAAAACTTTCGCTCCAGGCATTCCAGCAGCATTGTATCCTATATTTTGAGCGCTTGTTTAAAACTGTCCGCTGAAGAGTAATTCAATTGCGAAAATCTAGGAAAATACCTGTGTATTCCTTTTGTGTCCAAGCAATTCTGTGACCAAGGCAAACCGGAAGGTTTGTTTTTCGCCATTTTTTCGGATCCGGTTTTTCTCCAAACTGTTCGGGGAGGGGTGCGGACTCATTCCTCAACCAGCGGCTGGTAATTCCAACAAAAATGTTTATTGATTTGCATTTTTGTCTTCTTTAAGGTGGATGTAACCACATGACTTGTTCTCGCTGTCGCTTTGAATGGTGCTGGATTTGTTTAATTCGTTGGAATCCCGATTGTCAGGGTTCTCACTGGTTTAGGACGTGAACGCCATGTCACGCAATCTCTCAAGGATAAGATGCTTGCTCCACAAGGATTTTGCTAGTCTAGGAAAACCTTTGGAGATATCGAGTGGAAGGATAAAGGAAAATTAGGTTTATTTCTTGACAGTTATTGAACAATTTACAATCTCGACCGAAAAGTAGCTAAACTGTAGAATTAATTTGTAAGTTTTTTTAGAAACTATTGTAGAAACTGAAAGAGGATATAGGTGATGTCTGTCGATGAAACGGACTCTTTGACGTTTGTTAACAAAAATGTAACTCTGAGTATAATAAGTGCCGACTAAAGTTGGGGAATGCACTGGAAAAAAAAATTGTGTTATTTAGTGAACTGCCTTTAAGGTTATAGTGTCGATTGAAATTTGATTGAGATACGCACTGCGATTTAAAATCGATTGCGATAAGTTCCAAGTTAACACATTTTTAATGGGAACCGTAGTTCAAGGAACTTTCTATATTCGATGCTTCAGTTAACAAAATTTAACACCGCTCCATGCTTTATCTTAGCAGTGCCTAGAAACGTGGATAGCTGCAACCATAACAGTTTAGAATGCTGAACCAGTGATTTTTATGGCTACTGACTCCTATGGAAGCGAAGCCATAATATTGCCTAATTTGTAACTGATTACTACTCTAAGCTGCGCGTATGTCTTATTATATTTGTTTTCAAACAAATCGATTATTTTTCGCAAAGCGTTCACCAAGGTTTATATAGTTTATCAGAAGTAGCCAATAAAGGTTGCGGGTTTTACTCACCCCAAGTCTGTGATTTTTGCTATTTTAATAGGGTTAGCTCACGGCTGTAAGACTGGCTTCAGTGGCTTGTAGCAGAAGACGACATCATACAAGCCTTACTATGTTATAAATAATGACCAGGTTCATTCAGTTGCAAATGCATGGCTGGTTTAGTCGTTGTTTGCTTCCCCCGCTAGCTTGTTGTGACCAATCAAACCCGTTCAAGTCGAACCTATCATGGAGCGGGACATGGAGTGAACTGGAAAACCGTCAGGAAAACGAAAAATGACAAAAGCTCTGAGGGTGGATCTTGAGAGTCTAGAGTAGGAGGGTCGAATAACTGAACTGCATGAAGCCCGCCCCCCCCCATTGTGCAACCTTCTTCGAGGTCCGAATGATATCAAATATGGCCACTTTGGTATTTTTCTCTCTCCAGCCAACCACATCCACCATTGTTCTGAGTTGTACATTGAGACTTTCCTTCATTCAATTTTTCGCGTTTACAGCGTACAGGGCTTTAGTCGGTGGAAAGGCTGTATAGAGCAACTCACGAAAGAACTAGTTTACCCCAGGCTGTCACAAACAAGAAAAGCCTAGCACCGCTTAGAACTCTGTTAGGACAGGGCTGTGAACTCGGCTGAAAACTTCGAAAGTATCAATATGGCCTAGTTTTCCGCACATCTTTAGCAAATTAAAATAACAGCTATTGAAGATTGTTGCAAAGTATCTGTCACGACTCGCTTGCCATGGTTGACGCATAGCCGGAACTCACCGAAGAAAATCCTGTAAACTTCCGGCGCAGGTGTGCGGTCAGCAGCGTGCGGTGAACTAGGCAACGAAAAAGAACGAAGGAAAAATTATTCCCGCTTGGATAGAATTGTAAACATAAAGTTGTTTAACCAAATCTGATAGCGTCTACAAGGATTCCGTAACCGGATCCTTTCCAAAATGCACGAGAAAACGGATATGTTTTGCCCTTTGTGCTATAGCAACTACGGGACTGGATTTCCGCAGAGAATTCCGAGAGAGCTCGACTGCAGACATACATTTTGTACAGGTAATCATGAATGTTGTTTGAATTGTGACTCGTCTTGCGTGAATGTGGAATTCAGATTGGGCTTTCGTCCACAAATTTCATTTGAATGTTTCTCTGTGCTCTAAAATTATCGACTATGAAGTGGAGTATATATGGCCGTTTTGAATGGGAAGAATTTTTTTTTTATTCATAGTGTAGCATAGTTCTAATTGTTGTTGACGAAACTGCTCAAATAGACAAAGTAAACAGTGAAACATTTAAAGAGATTCAATTTTTTTTTACGTGAAGAAGAAAACAAGGCTTCCCTTATGGTTTATCTTGCCCTATGGGTATGTCGAAAGGGAAGTCAGAAAAGAAAATTAGCTTAATTTTTGAGAAAAACTTGTAGACTCGTAGTGTTTGTCTAATTTTCCATGGATACCCAGGCTCTTAAAATATTAACGCTAGGAAGTCGCTTGTATTAATAATTTAACAGTTCCCTGGCTATTTTGTGGTTTTATAACTTTTCGGATTTTTTCTTGAATTTCGGAAATTCGCTGGTAGACGTCAAGGAAATCTTTTCAAATTCTTTCTCAGACGTGTATTTTCTCGTGACTTTTGCGCATATGCAAATAGTCTGTTTTTGTCTTGAAACCTACTCCACCGTGCAATGCATGTCTGTGGTTCGATTAGATAAGATCAGCATTGTTGAAATAAACATACATTCTCTAAACAAAAGCTAGAAATAATCAGAGTGCTTAGGGTGATTTAGATTTAGGTTCTTTGACAAATCAGACATTATGCTCATCATGATCCAAGAAATTACCACAATTCATTGTTCTCTCAAAGTTCATTGCTTCTCTTTAGTTTTCTTCAATAGTAGATTGTTCCATAACACGGTCTGATAGCGATAAACTACTGCACATCCTTAGAGCCTGAAACACTCAGACCAGGAGGCAGCTTTTAAGGCACCCAATTCACAAACCACAGGAGTTATATCTAATGGCAGGAGTTAATATTTATTGGCAATTACTTGTGCTTGGTGGAAACGATAAAGTAAAAAATCTGTTTCCTTAATGGCTGACTCAAGCCTATCCTTAATGTCTCAATAGAAAGCTAGATTTTCAGAAGATAATGGGCTGATCAGTTTGAAGCATCCTCCCCACAGGCAACCCACAGGCATTTGACTGTCGTCCATGCCCTGGAGTAAGGCGTTTGACACGAAAAGCCTTCTCAGGGGTGGGAAATTTGAGCGTTAAGAGTTAAAAATTTACTGAAGAAGTGATATTTACTTTTGTTTTTTATTCTGCATAGAGTGTCTTGTTAAGCTACAAGAACTACAGGGCTCAGTCATAGAATGTTGTTCTTGTAAACTGCGCACTCTGTTACCTGCCAATGGTGTGGATGGACTTGTTAGAAACATGGATCTCTTAACAGCTGTGCTACGGTCTGAGGAAGAGGAACAAAAATTGTGCAACTTTTGCATTCAGAAGGTTTACCCTCCTAAACCAGCAACATTTTACTGCTCAGATTGTGAAGTATTCATGTGTGGCGGTTGTTCAGATGACATCCACTCCCAGTTGGAGTTCCGTTGCCACGACATTCATAAGGCGACTGCTGTTAAGAATGGCACAGGAGATGATAGAAGCACAGTAGTCACTTCTCGACCTTCGTCAAACCTTTCAACTTTAAGTCAACACTCATTAGGTCTCAGGCCAGGATTAAATAACAGACCATCTAGCTCGTTATTGGATTACTCTGCAATACCTGGTAACATATCGAGAAATATGTCAAATTTCATAAAGTTTGCAAATGTGTCCCATTTTTTAAGAAGTGAATTATTTAGTTTGCAATAAAGCAGATTCTGATGAAATTTTTATGCTTTAAGTGAAAAGACAAGTAAAGCCCCATAAGGTGACCTGACAATGGCAACTCAGAAACATCACCTTTCAATCCTTTTATCCCTAACAGTGACTAACAACTAATTTCCCCTTACAATATCACCCCTGAATCACACATAAGGGTTATGAGAATAAAGGAAATGATCATCTAAAAGAGCTCTAGATTGTTAAACAAATTCTCCTTCTCAGCTCCTTAGGAATGAATGGAGAACAGTATGGAGAATATGCATACTGATATTAAGGTGCTAAGGGTGAACTCCCAAATTACACCACTGTTGACAAATGCTGCCTCCAGCTCCCACTGCTGTGATTTGGGTTTGATTTTTAGTACTTCACTAGGCATGTGGCTCAGGTTTTTGGTTGGTTCATTTCCATGTCCTTAGGAATTTCCTCTGGTTTTTTACCCCTCCCCCTGCCACAAAAACCAGTTCTCCAAATTCTTTGTCCTTCTGGAAGAAGTACAGGAAGAGCATCCTCATGTTTGTTCCACTGCAAAAATTCTTAGCTATTAATTTTAATTTACATTTTGGATAATTTAGAATGTCCCACCCACAAAGAGAAGACCAAGTACTACTGTCGAAATTGCAGATGTCTATGTTGTGCATCCTGTCACAGATATGGCAATCATAAGAACCACAGTTGTTTCCAGGTTCATGAAGCTGAAGAAAAGGAAAGAAAAGCACTTGTGAAATTACAAACACAAGTTGAACAGCGTGGTGAAAAAATTATTAAGGCAAGAGGGGAAGTTCAAAGAACTATTGAAGAGGTCAAGAGGAATACAATAGAAGTAAAGGACATAGCGCGGAGATACTACAGAGAGCTGCGGGCAGCCATTGACCAAGCAGAGACAATATTGATAGAGGATATCAACAAGAGAAGCGATGTGAAGCTGAAAGCTTTGAATGAACAACTCAGGTAAACAGCTGTAATAGTTTAAGAGGAGTGTGCACCACTTGAAAAGATGATTATAACAGAGCTTTTGTAGTAGAGCACTGGTTGTAGAGCAGTTCCTTTTTCTAGGGGTAAAAGGAAAGGTGGACCTGCAATTTATTATTCTGTTCTATTCCCTTTTCCTTCCCTGTAGTCTCAAATTTTAACAGGTGTACATTGATTTTTACTTTAGAACAGTTTTGTTTGGTTCAGAAACTTGTGCTAGTGTCTCAAACAAGAAAATGTTTGACCAAAACCAAAAACGAAAAGACAATTATAATTTTTCCATGTTTAAAGCTCATTGTAGATATTCACTTAATAAGTTCTCTTTGGCTATGTGCTTTAATAACCATTGATTATCTTTTTAAGCTGGCCGTTGACTAATTACTCAATAGTCATTTTGATAACATCCACAGGGGTAGATCTAGGGAAGGGGTGCAGAGAGATGCATACCCCCCCCCCSCCCCTTACTGAGATGACCAGCGGCTTTCTAAATATAACTTCCCAGTTTTAAAAAAACCTGCTCTATCGTTTGTTATGTACTTTCAGCAGTTCACAATATAACATTAGCTAGTTATAAGCCGTTCGCCTTTTGCAATTTGTTTACGACACCTGTCAGTTACGTCATCCCTAGTTGGTGCACCTCCTCCTTAGAAAAATGTTGGATCAAGCTGAACTGTGGCTCAAAACCAAACCTTATTATTGTGAGGTCTACCTTTTTGTAGTCAAATGATCGAAATCTCAAGCCTGACGACCACTGCGTGTAGAAACTGTGACAATGCGTTGAGTCTAGACTACTACGAAATGCTGATGCTAAAGAAAGATGTTGAAACAGAAATAATGAGTGTACTAGAAATGTTGTGTGAGATAAACCCTGTGGCTAAAGCTGATCTTGGCTGTCAGTTTCCAAATCACGAAAAACTTTTGAGTAACATTCGAAGCTGTGCAAAGCTTGTTTTACGTAAGTATCTGTTTTTTTTAGTCCTTTTTTCGCGAAAAATAAGTTGCTTTACTTGTAGAGCAATTATGTATGACTTTCTAAGATAATCGGAGACTGGGTTTGTTGGCCTTAGAGCAATTTCCAATTGAGTATCGAAAGTAATGCGGATTGCTTTGGTTTTGCTAAACTTTACTCTATGATTGGTCTAAAAATGCACGCCTCTTTCTCAGCCAATCGGATTAAGAACCAAAACCAAACGCGAATTTGTTACCCGCGTTTTCCCGCGCTTCAGGCAGTTTGCTTGTATTTACTTTGTATTCTAATTGGTTCCTTGAATTATTATCTTTTTGTTCTGATTGGCTGTTGTGATTACTTTGTTCCGATTGGCTGTTTTGATTACTTTGGTTTCATTTTCGACACTCAATCGAAATACGCTCTACTACTGTGACACTGGAAAACTCGCACCACCCTCTCACCGCCAACCGTGTCAGTTGAGCTCATTGTAGCTGGTTCTCGAAGTGATATGATGTTAGCGAATCTAAGGATCAGATTAAAAGATATTCTCGCGTTTGGTTACCGTCTAAAGTTCCATTAGTTCGACTTTTTTTCTGCGCGTAACTTGTTTGGCAGTTGGCACTGGGAGTTTTTCAGTTTTCACGCTCTTTGGAATGGTTGCAATCAGGGTCCTTCCGAATCCTAGACGCCTCTCTGTTAAAGAAAAAAGGTAAAAGAACAAAGAAAATTGAAATCAATTGGTGCGTAAGGGAGGAAGGGGATACCAAGACGTAGCTTCTTTCTCGTTCCCATCGTCCCTCGATCAGCGGAGTGTGCACGATAGCCTCAGGAAGGGATACTAGGTTAAATGACAGAGCTGAATAACGTATACGCATGCGCGAGGTTTTGCCGCGGAAACACGGATTTTGAGTCGTTCGCATGGTTGATTTCCTAGTCTATTGCTTCGAGACGTCGTTTTCCTTACTGCTTTTCTTTTACAGAACAACCTCCAAAAACTTGGTACACCCCCTAAAAATTTTCAAAAATTAATTTTCTCCTTAAAACCCCTGGAAATAGGAAAATTCCTTTGACGAAAACAGAGTTCCTCGTTTTTAAAAGTCAGCCCTTATTATTTTCCGCTAATTTCGCTAAATTTTAGACCTAGGACACTTGAGCCCGCGTTGTTGACCGCATACCCACGACGTAGCATTTCATTATTCAGCTCTGTCAGGTTAAATTGCATATGCTTGGCTTATTCCCGAACACATCAATACGATGGGTTGATTGATTTACTTTTCTTTACGAGTCATCGCGAGTGGTTCGTTCTCCATCTGCCTTATCTTTTATTTTACCTTTCTTATTATGCAGCTCCAGGACCCCCAGAGAAGCTGAAGTGTGAAATCACAGACAATTACAACGTGCAGGTGAAGTGGGATCCCCCTGAAGATAACTTGTTCTTGTACCCAGTACTGGGTTACATTCTGCAAAGCAGCTCAGGTGAGATTGAAACAGAAGATTTGTAATTTCTAGTTTTGATTGAGTAACATCAGTCACAATGGCCGATCAGATCAAGCAAACAATGTTAAATGGGTCACCACATGTAAAGTGACTGAATGGCGAGAAAACGCGAATGCTCAAGTGGTTATAGGTTTTAGGTTTGTCTTTGACTGGGTGGGAGCAGTGTGCAGTGTTTCTTACCAATCAAAGAACGAGTTTAAGTATAAGCAGAGAAATCCCGAATTATTTTTTAGCCCTATGTAAGGCAACGTAAGTAGAAGTCGTAGTATTTTGTATATGTTACAAGTGCTAAATCCGGTGTTGTCTCATTTTAGGTCCTGATAATAGCTTCTTAACTATCTACAAAGGAAACAAGTCATCACTGACAATAGACAAGACTGCAGCTAATTTACCTGTCGGAAAACAAGTGCAGTTTCGCGCATGTGCTGTAAACCTGATTGGGCAAGGACCCTGGGGGTTCTCGTACGGGATCAAAATACCCGAGTGAGGGATGACGTCACTGGCGCAGAGCGCTAAAAGTTGTTAACGTCGCCAACACGATGAAGGACTTCCAAGAGATGTCATCGACCATTCCTGTGTGTAAAAGAGCAATTTTGTCGCTAGGACTCAAGAATATTCATCATTACTTTCATAGAATCTAAGCAATCAAACTCCGCTTATATTTCACCAACTGCGTGCTTCTTTGCTCTTCCTCATCTCTCTTCCTGGAACGACCGACGAGAGAATACCAGTAGGGTCTTACTTTGCCGCTCGCGGTGCACCGCGGGATTTGGCGCAGGTGAAAGAAACAGAACACTTGATTGTGGGTTGTAAGATTTATTATGTTGATCTGCACAAATTTGCTATCAAATGCTATCAATACGGAGAGGATAAGAGGAACCGATGTTCACACATAGTCGATGAGAGTTTTTGAAATGAAAATCATTAGGTCATGATAATTTTAACCTGATTTTTAACCTGATTTTCCCAATTTAGTAAAATGAAATGAGGTAACAAAGAGTTTTAGATTGCAAATATTGAAATATTTCTTATTTAGGTATGATATGAAGGTCAGGGAAATTAACCAGTAAATTTTTTGATTCTATTGCCATGTTTCAAAGAGATGGAGCCGAAATAAAATGATTTTCACCATACATTTTGCTATCTTTGTTCACCTGAAAGAGAGTAAGCATCTTTCCCTTTGCGTCGAAGTGTACTAAAATAAAGGGGATGAGTTTACATAGAAACTGCGGGGCTGCGTCGGCGTGGGTGTATAACAAGACAATTTGGTATTATCGACTGAGTTGATAATGTAAATTATTAAAAACTAGATCATTGGATAATGCAATTCAAGACTTTTTAGTGTCGTAGCCATTATGGTATATCACGCAATATACCATAATCTACAAATATGGCAAGTGTACGTGTCGGCTTAAAATTAAAAGGGAGCTAAAAATTTAATAAAATTTAATAATTTAATTTAACGTTTTTAACAAAACAATTATTCCACTCGCGCTTGTTGGATATGAGATGATTATAGCCACGCGCTTCGTTGGCTATCTATCATCTCATATCCAACGCGCGCTCTTGGAATAATTGTTAATTAGCCACCGTAAAAGGTTTCTAAGCTGACGTTTCGAGCATTAGCCTCTCATCAGATTATCAACTCAGATGATAAAACCAAATTATATTGCACTAAAATAAGCTGCATGAAATAGTCATGAGGAAGAAAGGAACTTACGGAAGGGTACCCTTTTCAGGCAATCAGTTAGTGAAGCAAAGCGCAATAGTAAGCTTGCAGTGCCGTAAATAGTAGTAGAGGAGTGAACAAAGGAACGGTTAGGAGTCTGGTTCCGACTTGATCCAAACCTCTCTCGCTTTTCACTCTTTTTTCTATATCTCCCAGCGTTAGCCCAGCTATTTGGGAGTATAAGTTCCAAGTTCCAAGTTCCAAGTTCCAAGTTCCAAGTTTCTCCCTGTTCGCGCCGATTTCTATTTCGCTACATTTGGCTAAGTAAACGCCTGGGACAGGCTAACAAAAGGGAAATCCAACAGTGATCACATTGACAGAGAGATTTGGAGAGAGAAGGCTATAAGGCTTTGAGGCCTATTATCCCAAGGCCAGGGTAGACGGAGCACAAATTGAGATCAGGATTGATCAGAAACGTGCCCTGAAAACAGTATTATTGATGGGTCATGGATCTGTTTATTTATTTTCGGTGTCGAGTGAATGAATTTTGCTATTGAGCCCCATTTACAAGCAGAGACGCCAGTTAGAATGGGATAAATTTGGGCAAGATGCCCCCTCTCATAGCATGGGCAAGCTTCTCGTGCTGTGTGCACGATACAATATAATCATTATTTGCCTTTCCCAAAGGAAAAAAAAAACATTCCGGTCATTCCGTTGAGAAAATATATTTTCGCAGATCATTCCATCAGGAAAAACAGGTTTCAATCAGGTTATCTTTAAGAGTGAGCACCATAAGGTTGCTGCAAAGTTAATAAAGTTTAAAAATCTCCACAATTCCTCTTCTCGGGGATAAAAAAAAAAACAAAACTACAACAAAAAAACAAAAAACAAAAAACCACAGAACAGTGGGCTACACGGTTTTACGTTGTGTAAGACTGAGGTTATGTCCTGCGGAATTTTCTACCGTGGTAGATTAGAACCCAGGTCTTTGACCACCACGTTGCATCATCCGGCGCCATCTTGTAAATGGCTTTATGAAAGAAAAAAAAAACCTTAAAAAAAAATTTTACGTTATAGACTGAAGTGTACAGTTACATAGTGATGGCTGCAGACAATGTTTCATCTCAGACCACAACTGGACAGCCTCATTTGGCGAAGCAAGATCTAACAAAATTGGTAGAGATTGTGTTTGATCCATCTCGACAGTCACGTGTAGAGTGAAATAATTCAAGGTTGATAGGTTTGAATTACGTTTGTTCATATTTTTGCTTTTGTATTAGGATGAATCTCAGCTAAATCCTCTTACTCCCGAAGTTATCAGTCGTCAAGCAACGATCAACATCGGTAAGATATTAATATACACTACATGAAATATTTTTATAGGCTAGATGGATAGAGCCTACTTTACGATCAGAAATAAGAAGGGAGAAAGTCATCGGTGTTTTATTGATCTTAGAAAAATTTGCTATTTTTTTGCATCAGAATTACTTTTGCCACAAGGTTTTCCGTTTTTTTTTACTTTTTTTTTATAGGAACTATCGGCCATGTGGCTCACGGAAAATCAACAGTTGTCAAAGCATTATCAGGAGTACAGGTGATTTTCAATTCGTAGTCGTCCTTGTGTGATAACACTAAAGTAATGGGAGTATTCTGCTGGTGTGGGTATTGCTTGCATGTGGCTAACCGTGCAAGGAGCATTTGAACCGTGCAACTGAAGATCATCCATCAGAAGGGTTTACAGTTAAGTCACCCGAGAGTCATCTCACCCAAAGTCAAGTCGCCTGAGACCTGAGTCATGTTGCCCAAAATTTTAGTCATGTCGCCCGAAAAAAAAGGTTAAGTCGCCTGAACAAACAAATACCTAAAAGATCAGACATACAGTCTGTAAATAGGAAATAATGTTGAGAAATCTTTATTGCAAAAGCATTCTTAGTTTCTGATTACACCATGAAGATTAAAAAAGCATTGTTCATTTGTAACAACAAAGGGAAGCATTGTTCATTTCTTACAACAAAATAAAGTTTTGTTTGGTTGGTATGTACTTGTTTTGAACTCACAGACATTTTGTACACTTAAAAAAACGTCATCTTTGTTTCTAACAATACCATGAAGACTTTGACTACACAGTAATCAATCCTGTTATCAGAATTGAAATATGTTAGAGTAACAATTCTAAAAGTGTTGTTTGTTTTGAACAACAAAGGGAGGCATTGTTCATTTCCAACAACTAAATGAAGTGCAGTTTGTTTAGTATGTACTCGTTTTGCACTCATGGATGTTTCGCACTTAAAAAAAACTTTATCTTGGTTCTAACAATAGCTTGAAGACCTTGACTACACAATAATGGATTGTACAGTCAGAATTAAAACATGTTTGAGCAACCAAACAACAAGGGGAAGCATTTGTTTCTATAATAACAAAATGCTGCGTTTTCAGCAAGGTGCATTCTTAAAGCTTGCTCTCACTTGGTGGGACATGGACCTATCCATACCGATTAGTTAGATGAATTTATTACTTTGCATTTAGCTAGGAATAAGTTTTTTTTAAGGCTTACATTAAGATTTTTTTTGCTAGTTTAATACTAATTGTTGTAATATGCTATCACAGGTTAAATTAATAAACCTATCTATTTTAAGAAGATCACAAATAGACACAGCAGACCTTTATTTGTATGCTACTTGCTACACTTTTTACTATGCGACAATGGACATCTGTTTACTGTAGTTTTCATGGTTGGGAATGCATATTTACAGACTGTAAGTCTGATATTTTAGGTATTTGTTTCTTTGGGCAACTTGACTTTTTTTTCCGGGCGACATGACTAAAATTTCAGGCAGCATGATTCAGATTTTGGGTGACACGACTCAGGTTTCAAATGACATGACTTGGGGCAAAATGACTCTTGGGCGACTTGACCATTTACTGTCAGAGGGCACACAGGCCAGAAAAAAGATTGGCCAGCAGTAAGACTCCCATGCTAACTGCAGGATTAATAGTAGTCTCTCAAGAGCTCTGACACCAACATGCACTATAAAGGTTGTTGATTCCATTGTAAGCTAGCTGATGGCAGTTATGTACTGGTCAATAATGATTAAATTACTTTGTATTCCTTTTTTCAGACTGTCAGGTTTAAAAATGAACTTGAGAGAAACATTACAATCAAGCTAGGATATGCCAATGCAAAGGTAAGTCAGTGACATTCAGATCAGATTTCTCGGGTTTGATATTACTGAAGCTTCTTTGAATGTAGACTTTGTTAGACAGTAATCGTGTATATGTGGTCTAGCTGGCCATCAAAAGTAATATTTAAATAAGTGAGAGGATGGTGACCTTATAACCTGTCTCATGAATGAAATTATTTGAAAAGGCAGTTGTTGATCATTGTTGAGGATGCTGTGATTGATTTTTCCAGCACCATACTTTCTAACAACTAAAAGTAAAATTCAAGTCTTAAAGATTCTCTCTCATTAGTTAGTTTAAACTTTATACCCGCAAGATCTCACCAGTAATTCTCTTTTCTGTCTGCTATACAATTCCTATGATATTAGTTTGGAGAATCTGGTATTGGATCAACCAACAATCTCCTTGCTTATGTTTTCCTTTATCCTGATCACTTGTCTGCCTAATGTTTTCAGGGCTTGACACTAACTTTTCAACTTTCTAGTAAAGTGGCTAGTGGCATCTTGTATGTTATGACAATTTCACTTTTACTAGCCAAACTGGTTAGTGGAAATTGAAAACCACTAGCCAAAACTGAATTCTATTAGTCTGTGGCTAGTGGGCTGCCATTAGTGTTGAGCCCTGATTAAATTAAAATTTCAAGGAGAAACTCTGTCTTGGTCTCCCATGGATGTTGAAGGGTTAACAACTTGTACAACAAACGCCAGTTGTTCAAAGGTTGGATAATGTTATCCTCGGGATAAATCTCTATCTGGCGGAGGGCACAGTATCCATTGGATCACATTATATAGCCTTTGAACAACTGGGCCAAGGTGAGCGTTGTCTGGTTAATACCTCAACATAATTATTGTTTCACTGACAGATCTACAAGTGTGACAGCAGTTCATGTCCAAGGCCTAGTTGCTAGCAGTCATCTGGAAGTGCAAGGGAGGATGTATTTGCTTGTGACCGTATGGGATGCAATGGAAAATTTAGATTAGTTCGGTGAGACTTGAAGTTCAATTGTAGTGACTAATTGCATTTCATGCTGGAATAAATTGTCATTTAACTGCTTAGGAAACATGGAGGATATTCAGAAGACTCAAAATCCAATTGCCAGTTGTCCAATCATGATTGGTAGATCTAAACAGTCAATTTATTTTCTTTCTTTTAAAGCACTTGATAGTTGTTGTAAGGGCTGAAAGTTTCTAAGGAAACTGTTTGGGGCTGTTGGTGGGGGTAATGAAATAATTTGAATATATCAACAAAGTTGAAATGGTAAATTGGCCACCGTTACGGTTTCAAAAGCTAATGTTTCGAGCGTTAGCCCTTCGTTGGAGCAAATGGAAAGAAACTTTGCTCCCACGAAGGGCTAACGCTCGAAACGTCAGCTTTTATAATCGTAACGGTGGCCAATTTACCATTTCAACTTTGTTGGTATATTTAAATGATAGTTGTTGTAGTTAGATGACAAAATATTTTCTTACTTGGGCTTTCAGCTGTGGAATTCCCCCTCTTGTGAGCAAGAGTATCAGACTCAACTTACTTTGTAGGTGCAGCTGACATGGTGCACATTGATTAGCATGTTGGATACTGACCCTTACGTGCCTCTCTCTATTCAGGAGGAAAAACAGCACTACCCTTGGTTACTTCATGCCATAAATGAAGATCCAAACCCATATTATTTTAAGTTACTACTTTGCAACCTAAAATCACGACCAAAAAATTGATAAGAAAAGGGATAAAAAGAAAAAGAGATTTTGTGCGGTTTAAATTTATCACTTGGGCTTTCCACTGGAAACACCCGAGTTGAAATTCAGTCACAAATTGCGGTCAAGTCCTTAACATGCGTGCATGATGTTTGGATTCTGACGCATGCAGAACGTTTTGACTGATGAGCATATGGCATGGTGTAATGGTGGAAGAAGAGAAGTTTTAGTGGTTCAAAATCAGCATGGATACTCTGTATAATATGCTCAAAACGCATACAAAATATGCACACAGTGTTCATGGTAGACCCACACTAAAAGATATCAAGTGTTTCTGGAATGGGTCGGTCTGTGAGCCTTGAAAGAGATCTCTTTCTGAGCAAACATTCCTGAGTGAACTTTTCATCAAGACACATGCTATATGAACTGTGCTACGGTATCTAATGTTTATCGAGAGAAGCATAAACACATATCTCATCGTGTATGTAGATGTGATCGTCAACCAAGCAGAATATACAAACACAGGCACAAAAAAAAAGTTTCTTTCCAAGAGAAAGCCCAAGTGAATGCAAAAATGCATCTAGTAATTTATAGAGTCAGCTTTTTAATTCATGTAGCTCTAATCAGTACTTGTGGTTCCATTTCTTTTCAGACATGTGTCATTTGTTGATTGTCCTGGCCACGATATTCTTATGGCCACAATGTTGAATGGAGCAGCTGTTATGGATGCTGCTCTTTTACTGATAGGTTGGTGTTCAACTTTGTTCTCTTTTTATTAGGGTATTGTCACTGTTACAAAATAGAATTAATGAAGGGTACAAAACTTTTTTGCCCTCAGAGAAAGGATTTTGTTGAAATCAAATTTATGAACAGTAGTGGAAATCTTATCCAGATAGCAGAATGAATGGTTGGATAAAATCAATGAAAAGGATATTAGAAAATGTGAATGACCATAGCACTGTAAAACTGACTTTGATCAGTTAAATGTCAAATTTTGAGTGTCTCAAATATGTTTTTTTTTTTGGGAAAGCTATGACCTCTTTTGAGCACCACAGACCAAAAGATTTCAAAATTTCAAAATTGAATGCTATTGTACCATGTTAGAGTTCCAAGCATCTAATGATAACATCTGTAACTTCTTCATTATTTACTTTTAGTTAAGATTGAATAGTCTTTGTTTCTTTTTATCCAAGCTGGAAATGAATCTTGTCCTCAGCCTCAGACTTCAGAACATCTGGCAGCCATTGAAATAATGAAGCTAAAGCATATAATTATCCTTCAAAACAAGATTGATCTTGTCAAGGAGAGCCAGGCTAAAGAACAATATGAACAGATTCTCCAGTTTGTTCAGGGTGAGAATAAACTGTGTATAGTATGAAAAGTGCTACTTACATTACAGTGTGGAATCAGGCAGGCTGTTTATTTTGCATCCATGATCAGAGAATTCAGTATTAAATTTTGATGGCCTGAAATACAGTAGAACCCCACTTATTCAATCTCAGTTAACTCAAATGCCCTGCCAACTGGAACAAAATGCCATTTTCCTTGGATTTGACCTTATTGTCAGTCATTCACGTTTTGCTAACCCATTTAAAGTTGGTTCCCTCCAACTCCCTGTTGACTTCAATGGATTCTAATTTGACTCAAATTTACCCTGATAACTCAAAATTTATGCAAATGTATTTGTAAAGACTTCCTCAATAGTTAATTCTTAGACTTCTAAGTACACTGCAATAACACGAATTGAACTTGGAAATTCCCTGAGAGCATTAGTGAACTTTGCAAAACACATACGTCCAAAAAGCCTTATCTTCTGTGCGAACTTCTCAACAAAACTGTCTCATTAAAAACGGATGATAAACAGGAAACATTAATATATAAATAATTTATTTAAAGTTGATAATGTAGGAAGTGGTTGCCCAATCTTTTGAGCCAGTGGCTCATGTTTAAAAACACTTGACTCCAGATCACAGCAGGATACTTCAAATTGAGTACCAATCCCAGTAGCTAACAAGGTTCTACTATATAGCAAGGCATTGCTGGATACTTACATGTCAATTTTTTTTCTTTTTCTAATTTTATTTTTAAGGAACTATAGCTGAAGGAGCCCCTGTGGTTCCAATTTCAGCTCAGCTAAAGTACAACATAGAAGTCATCTGTGAATACATCTGTAAGAAGATCCCAGTACCTGTCAGATATTTCACCTCCAGTGCTAAACTCATAGGTATGCAGCACAGTTTCTTGAAAGGGTTCTGTCGACAGAATTGCAATAATTGGTGTTTATGTTGTAGTTCAATTTTATCCTTGGTTCAAATTTTATTTTCCTTTGTTTCAAACTCATTATCATACATTAACATGACCAAGAATAAAGGAAAATAAGATTTGAACCAAGTATAAAATTGAACTACAACATCTACATGGAAAAGGTATGTCTTTTCCATGATATTTCTCATAAAACCTAGTTGTTACTATTAATTTATGTCATGGTGTTTAGTTATCAGATCTTTTGACGTAAACAAACCAGGATGTGAGGTAGAGGAACTCAAAGGTGGTGTTGCTGGGGGAAGCATACTATGTGGAGTTCTTAGAGTAAGTTTATGATGAAAACTTTCTTATCTCCCTTAATGTATAGTTGTTTGTCAGATATACCTTCTGATATTCTTACAAACCTTTCTTTCATTTTTATTTATATCTTCCCTTATCGTAGGAAATTAACATCAGTGGTAATTAACTGTTCAACTGATCAATGAACGCTGAAGTAGAGTTACCCTTGTATATGGATGATTAAACATCCTTTTGAAGTTCTGTATTCTTGTTTGAGTAGTCCAAGATCTTAAAGTGCCACTACGACGAAAATTTTTGTCTCTGGTTTTGACATTTTTTAGCGCCGATCAAGTTAATATGGTTAGAATTGTTCTATGGGATAGTTTTTAGGTTGATGGAAGCGAAATACGCCTTGATATAGCTGGCTGAAATTCACGAAAAACCCGTCCGCCATTACTCAGCTCGCAACCGAGAGCCAGTGACTGAACTGAAAAGCGGTTTTATGCATGAGTTGGCCTGTGATGTCATATGCGCACTTTTGCATCGCGCTTCGTGTGTTGTGAGAGATTCCACAGTGGAAATCTAGGCGTTTTATAAGATGTATTCTTGCTTGTATTCTTCTTCCAAATGGCATGCAAATTTAGCCACGTTTTTTAGGTTGAGCTGCGCATATGACGTCACTTCTGAAAGGCTCCAACTAGTGCTAACTCATTTTGCCACACTCGGCCATTTTTTAATTGAGTAATGGCGGGTGACCAAAAACGAAAAACAAGGTTGAAATAATCATGCTTCCCATGAGAATTTTGGGATTAAACTTGGGATGGTAAGTGTTTCTTACTTCTAGTTTCCAGAAGTGAAAAGAAAAGGCAATGCGAAATTTTGATCATAGTGGCACTTTTAACGATTGGATGCAATCCAGGAAAGCTGGTAAAGAAGAAGAAAGTTGTAGCATGAGTGTTAAGTGTTTGATTTGATATTTATTTGCAGGTGAACCAGGAAATAGAAGTGAGGCCTGGTATTGTTTCAAAGGACAGTGAGGGAAAACTGCAGTGCCGTGCCATTTTCTCATGCATTGTGTCTTTGTTTGCTGAGCAGAATGAGCTTCAGTTTGCTGTGCCTGGAGGGCTAATTGGTAGGATGATTGATTTTTTTAATCTCCTTGAAAGTAATAGTCAGTTATTAATTTTGGAAACAATGGCGGTTCAACTTGTATGTCTTTCTTTAGGTGTTGGCACAAAGATTGACCCCACGTTATGCCGAGCAGACAGGATGGTAGGACAGGTGTGTATCAGATATGTAATGTATGTAAGAAAAAATTTAGGTATTTGGTTTCCAACCAAGTATACCTGGGGTCATTTTTTAGGGCCATAATCTGCACAATATGTACCAATACTTTTTTAAAATATACCAGTAGTGATTTATTGATTTAAGATGTTTTTACCTAGAGAATATTTCAGAAATTTATGATGCTCTAGGATTTAAATATTTAAATTGTACCTGTTAGTATCATGTTATTGATATTAATTTTCATACCCTTGGGTTTATTTGTTGAGTCAGGTTTTGGGTGCTGTTGGGACCCTCCCTGAGATTTACACCGAGTTGGAAATTAACTACTTCTTGCTGAGAAGACTGCTGGGAGTAAGGACTGAAGGCGACAAGAAAGGAGCCAAGGTATTGCACAGGAAATCATAACCTGGATATTGTGAGACTAAAAAGTAACCATATCTCCATTTTTGGAACTTGAGGAATTTTTACCTTTAAATTTTTTATTTTTGTTAATTTGAGGTCAGGAAAGGATAAATTTTACCTAACTTTCCATGAATCCTAATTTTGAGTTAGATGTTTCCCATAATTTTAAATCTCTGAATAATTTAGTCCCTTCTTATCTTAGTGATTTGTTAACACCGTATATCCCCAGTCGTAGTCTCAGGTCATCTAAACAGTCTCTACTGGTTGTCCCAAGGTCTATTCAAAAGTCTTATTGTGACAGAGCTTTCGCGGTGACTGCCCCACGGTTGTGGAATGCTCTGCCCATTCATATGAGACAGCCTGGCTTTTCTTTGGCTGCTTTTAAGAAATGTCTGAAGACTTACCTTTTTAAAAAGCTTTCTTTTCAAATATTTTGTGATTTTATGTGATTGTTTGTCTTAATTATTTTGTCTTTAGTGAATTTTAACTCAGTATTGTAAAGCGCCATAGAGCAGTCGGATATGGCGCTATTTAAGTCCATTATTTATTATTTATTTATTAATGATCCTGCCATTTTTGGTACAAATTACTGTGTTTGTTTTGATTTAATGTTATTTATGATTGTTTTGGGTAACATGACCAACGTACTCCACTTCCGTATGCAAGTTCATTTTGAACGAAAGTTTTTGTATGTATGTGTTCAGTTACTTAGGCCATGAGAACTCAATCAGAATTAAAATTATCTGACCTATATAATTCAATTGTTTACAATAAGAGCGATTTTCAATTAAGCCTCAAAAAAATCTCAGATTGCTTTCGATTTTGATTTACTTCGCTTTATGATTGGTCCTGAAAACTCGGGTCATCCTCTCGACCAATCAGATTCAAAACTAAAACTAAAACTAATCGCGACTTGGTAACCCGCGTATTCCCGCGCTTTAAGCCATTTACTTGTTTTTACTTTGTGCTCTCATTAGCTCTGTGATATTTTCCTTTCCTCTGATTGGCTCTGTGATATTTTCCTTTCCTCTGATTAGCTGTTGTGATTTCTTTGGTTTTTGTTTTGCAACGCTCTATCAAAATGCGCTAAATTCCACATGGCTGTGAGGGTTGTTAATTGAAGCTTTGTTTTCTGCAGGTACAAAAGTTGTCTAAGAATGAAGTGTTGATGGTGAACATTGGTTCTCTGTCCACGGGAGGTCGTGTGTTGGCAGTCAAAGCAGATTTGGCTAAAATAGTGCTGACTCAGCCCGTTTGCACTGAGATCGGAGAGAAGATTGCGCTTAGTAGAAGAGTTGAAAAACACTGGAGGTTTGTTTGTTCACAAATATGCGTACAATGCGCGCTCCTCAAATGTTACTGCTGTTGTCGTTTCAGAAACCAAAAAGGTTCACACCTAAGGCCACTTTTTCCACTTCACTCTAATTACTTCAGTTGAGTGTTGAAAGTAATTGGTGGTTGCATTAAATAATTTGCTTTATGATTGGTCTAAAAACTTCCGCTACCCTCCCCACCGATCAGATGCAAGACTGAGACTATGGTGGTTCGAGTTTGAGTTGGGGTTCTGATTGGCTCCATATGATGCTGTCTTTGTTCCGATTGGCCAATGTGGTTCCTTTGAACTTGGTTTTACGCCACTCAGTTGAAACGCGCTTTTCCGTGGCTATGGTCCAAAATTTATTCCAAACGAGCAACATGGAATGTGATGAAAATATAGAGACGGGCGGTCAGATAGAAGTTTTCAAATCTTGCAACTTGATGTTGAAAGTCTCTTATTCTGATTTCCTGGCTCAGTAGATCCCATTCCCATACTCAAAAGGCAAGAAAAAAAGATACATTATAGAAATAGCCTTTTAAAAATGGGACCTTATCTAGCTTGCTAGGATAGTAGTTAAAGTAGTGTGATAAAAGCAGTTATCTCGAAGAGATGTGAAGGGGTGGGGGGTGAGGGGAGTTGCCATACTGAAAGTCTT